CTTCTATGGCATCGTGAAGCACCTTTATTTTTAAGAGTGTGTATTATGGAAAAAACACAAATCAGTTTTTAAGCACAAAGCAGGGGAAGACAGGGTTTTAACGACCCTCTTACCAGGTGTTTTCTCTCTATGAATGTATATGTGATTGAACAGCCAGTCCGCAACTGGTTGCTGATCTGAAGAGTAAAATGACCAATAGTTAAGACAGAGGTGTTACATTTGAAATCAAAGGATGACTCCATGAAGCTTTATTGTGATCTGGTTCCTCACCAGTTGTTTTAGTTGAAGCAGGTGGTCCATGGTTATGGCATGTTTGCAAGGACCAGGGATGTCCATCATGGAGAGGGGAACACACAGTAGCATGAGAACACACACATTCTTCCCCTGTAGTGACAGGCAAGGAAACACACACACAGACAGAGAAAGAGAGAGAGACGTTTGTTTTTCTATCATCAGGGAAGACAATAAACCTAAACATGCCTCTCACATACACCATTTTGCATTTTTAATAAGCAGTTCTTCCTTATGCAACTGTCTGATATATATAAATGTGAATGGATATGTTTAATATGTAATTATAAATATATTTTATTTATTTATGTGTGGTATAAAAATATTAAATAAAATAAAAAATAATCAATGCATGAATAGAAATGGCGAGAACGCTTCACTATTTTCTTTTAACTTCTGTCATGAAAGCTATTCTTGCAAGTTGCTGGAAAGTCAAAATGAAGAATTACTGTTTTGCCAGGTATGCCACTGGCAACTGTCTTCCCTCACTATCAATATATCTTTTCTCTTTCATTCTTTCTCTTTTTTTATCACTCTCCGTCAGCACTGCATCCTGCTGCTTTTGATATTTCTGCATCTGCTCCATCTTTTTAAAATGACGTTTGATATCATGCCATTAACTTTAACAGCCAGCATACACTAATCTAATAGTCAATAATCCTCTAGAGAGATTTAACCACAGTCTGGTCACTTTGCAAATAAATGCAAAAAAAACTTACTCTTTATTGACAGTGTAGCACAAGCAGATGTACCATATCAGTCGATGTGAAATACTACCACTTAATCGCCACTAAATCATCTTAACATGTCAAAAGACTAGTACCCCATAAAATGAGAATATGTAAAAAAGCATTGCTACTCGTCTTTTCAAAGTCAAATCAATAAGAGAGTGTGTTTCCAGCTTTTAGAAGTACCATGAGTATAGTTCCACTGAAGACCTTCAAGCCTACCTTGGTTCTGTAGAAGTGAAGGGGTGTAGGGTTGTTCATCTGGCTCACCGATCCAGTAGGAGAAGTCTACAATCCTCAGTTAGATGCATTTGAGCAGATCCAGGTGATGTTTTGCTGTGCAGAGTTGAAGCAGAATGATAGAAAAGCTCATAAATGAATCGATCCACCATCAAAATGAACGTGCAGGCAGAC